GGGATCTCAAATTTTTTCCAGCACTTTCCTTTGGGCAAACTTGAGATTCCAATTTTGACCGGACAAAATTAGAATGAACCAGAGAAAAATATAAATAGCCACGCGGTTAAATAAAAGTGTAGTGAAATAAAACTAAAGAAAAAAAAATACAATTCTATGGGCAGTACCGACTAATCTTATAAATAGAAATGTGCGCATTTGAATTCAATTCCAAAATGTCACTGTAAACGTGGTGGTTGTAAAAATATCGGTATTTAAATTTAGGTGCTGATTTTTTAATTGTGTAACGAAACAAAGCCATATTGTTTAATAAATTGATTTATTAATATACTCTGCTTTAATTCTTTAGATTCTTTAAACTTTTCTCTGGTTCATTCTAATTTTGTCCGGTCAAAATTGGAATCTCAAGTTTGCCCAAAGGAAAGTGCTGGAAAAATTTGAGATCCCAGTTTTGTCTGGGCAGACTTGGAATTCCAAGTTTGCCCAAGAAAATTCTAGTCTAATTTGGAATTCTAATTTTGTCTGGGCAGAATTGAAATCCCAATTTTGCCCAAGAAAATTCTAGTCTAAGTTGAAATTCTAATTTTGCCTGGTCAAAATTGGAATTCTAGTTTTGCCCGGTCAAATTCTAAATTTGACCAAATCTCAATTTTGCCCCCAACATATATATACTTAAATCAACAGTTATCCGAACGAAAAACTATTCATGACTTTTTCAAATCTGTTCATAAAAACTATTTGAATGTTACATGTACTAACTTTTTATTGGCTCCCTTTGCTATGATCGCCTCGATGTACTAAACGATTTTCTTAGGTTTCAACAAAGTTCATATCAGAAAGGTTTTATTGTATTTTTAACAAAAATAAGAGTCAACTTACAATTAATCCATTTGTTTGCCATTGATTATTTGAATCCAGATAATAACAACCTGATGTAAATATTCTTAATTGATAATCAAATGTAAAATGAAATGGTTGATTTGTTATTGGAGGTGTATTCATTGAAAAATTTGAACATCGTTCATTGATTTCTGTAGAATTTAATTCTCGAATGCCATAAACAATCGATTGATGATCAATTGTTTGTTGATTGTTAAGAAAATATTCATAAATACCTTCATTTGTTAAATCTATATGAAATCAAACGAATAAATAAATTATAATAAAAGAAAATTTACTTGATGGACAAAAAATTGTCCATCCATCAATTTGATTAATTGAACTATTTAATTGTGGAATTTGATCAAATTTATAAATAAATAAATAAGAAATTGAAGAATTAATTGGTTGAATTTGCCAATGAATTGAAATTGGAAGAGATGTAGTTATATTTAAATAATGAAGATCGAAAAGAAGACGATGCATTGTTGAATTCATCGATGTTACATTCTGTAAAATCATTGATGGAATTATTAAATTAGGATCACGAGAAATGAAAATTTCAATTGTTTCATTTAGATTTGTTTGAATTGGAATTTCTTCTTGATTTATATTAAATAAAGAAAATGAAATAGTTCGAGAAAGATTAGTATTTGATGAAATTTTTGAATTTCCAAATATTGATAATGGTTGTAGAAGAAACTAAAATATTTCATTAGAAATCATAATTTGAAGAAAAAAGAAAGAAAATTTTACTCGAATAAAAACTTTGTTATTATTATTTAAATAAGATTGAAAATGATTTGGAAGTTGAATTTGATTATTTCCAATTTGTTGAACAAATTTCTCTGAAAAATGTTCACTCGTTCGACTTTCTAATGTCATGAAAACTTCGGATGTATTTATATTGAATTGCTGTTCAATATTTAAATGAATATTTATTATCGAACTTATCAATGAAATCACTTCAGTCATTTGAACATGAATTTCATTTGCTAATTGTTCTTGAAAATAAATAACACGATTTTTTTCAATTGTTTCCCATGAGAAATCATTTCCATCAGCAAATAATTCTATACAATTTTACAAAGAATAATTTAGATTTGTCTTGAATAATTCATAAAAATTCAAGGAAGAGAAAGCGAGACTTCGTATCTCGATGTACGAAGTGATACGAGGGAATATGATGAAAGTACAGAAGAGTATTTCATTTTCGTACTTCCATTAGATTTTGAAATCTCGCTCTCCTATCTCTTTATCAAAAACTCACTAAGATTAGCCCATTGAAAATCTAAATTTGTGTCATAATCATCCGGAAATGCTGTAGCACGTAATGAATCCAAATTTAAAACAGGTGTTCGTTGTTGTAATGGACTATTAACTGCCTAAATATTCTTCTCAGATATTTTCAATTCAATTTAGTATAAAAAATAACTAACGGTAAGTAGATTAGTTGCACATTGTAGAAGATACGTAACTGTTAATTGAACATCTTCAAATGCAAGTATTGTTCTTCTTGAATGTAAATTTTGTGCTATTTGATAACATCGATTAGATAAAAATGTCTACAAAGATATATTTGATTAGAAGAAAGATTTTTTTTTGTATAGAAATTTACTAAAGATATTCGTGTTAGTTCATTTGTTGATTGAGTAAATTGTGCTAATGTTGATGCTTGTAATTTAACACTATTTGATGTTGTTAAAGGAATTTGTGTGAAATATTTGATTAAATATTCTCGAATAATTGAATTTAAATTTAACTTTTCTTGAAAAATATTCATTGATGATTGATTAAATGATAATGATAACTATTTATTTGAAATCAAATACTCAATGAAGAAGAATTAATAAGAAAATCGTTTACTTGTTCATTGGTTATGCTATTTAATGGTGAAACTGAAATCATTGTTTTTGGTATTCCATCTATTTAAAAGAAAAACAATAAAACAACGAAAAAAAAAGATCCTTCTGGATTAGGAATCTACAGTGGACGGATGCAGCGAGGAAAATCTTGAAAATCAATGACACTCATTACGTTAGTGTGAGATAAAGAGAGAAAAAAATGGTCGTCTTTTCGTTAGATTTTAGGCTTCAAGAGGATCTTTCAGCATTAAGGATCCGTTGTTTTCTCCTTGAAATAAATAATTTTAAAATTTACTTGAAATAGCTGTATTTAAATATTCATTATTGATTTGATTCAATTGTAATGAAAGTGATATTAATATTTGTCCAACAATATTTTGATTTTTACTCTCAAGTAATTGAATTATTGGATTCGCGGTTATCATTTCTGATGAGTTTTGAATATCATTCATTAAATTATCTATTGCTTTTGTATCTGATTGAACAAAAACGGATGAAATATTTTTTTTAGTAACACCTTCTAATTTATCTCGAATATGAATTATTAAATTAAGTGATGATGTTTGGTTATTTCCCATTGGTAATAGAATTTCAAATATTGGTATTGTTGAATAAGCAATGAAAATTTCTATTTGTTGATTAGTTGCCAAACCTAATCGAACGAGAAGAAAAATGATTTTATTTAATGATTAAGATAATCTTCACATACTATAAACAGTATAATCTTGAATTCCATCGTTATCGAACCAATCGAAGCATGAAATTTGAAAAATGGTACTCGTTGTACCACTGGAAGGATTTATTGAACATGAACCATTGCTGGGCGGTTGATTGATGAGAAAATTTAATGAACTTGAACTTCTACCTGATGGAAATGTATACACAACTTCACATCGCCAAAGTTCATTCTGTGGATTTGACAAGAATAATTGATTTATTGCAGTAAAATTACTTGTATTTGTACCTAAATCAAACAATTGAAAATTTTCATTGAAAAATCAAGGCCTTTGTTTTACCAAAAAACCAAATATTTTGATAAAATGCTGTTTCATTAAATAAAATCCATTCAGTGAAATTTGACGATGAATTTTTTCGACCATAATAAACATTCCATGTGATATTTTCAATCAGTGTACAATTTTGCAAACATTCGGAAAATAAAGCCATTTGTGTTGTTGGATTTATAAATTGATACTCAACATTTGGTTGACATAGTGTTGAAATGACACAACTAAAGAGAATGAAAAATGTCTCGTTTATTCGTCGAAAAATGAAACGAAAGAGAAGAGAATATTTACCCAATAAGAATTATTTGTGCATCAGCATTGACGACATTGACAAAAACATAACCGACCGCTTGATTTGATGAATTTCGAATATTTTCCATCTGTACCATAAATTGATATGTTCGATTAGGTTGAAGAGAATCAGAAAGTATTGTAAAGGATGAATTCAATTTATTATCAAATCTCCATCCTGTTCGATTTGATAAACATGAAGGATTCAATGGATCATTTCTCACGTCATCAATTGTTAATAAGGAATTATTTAATTGTGGATATTCATATAAGCCATAGATTCGACAATAATATTTATATTTCCAATTCTATTTCATGAAAAAAAAATTTTTTCATCAATCTTCATTCTATTAGAAAACTTACAGAATTATTAAATGTCTCTTCATCTGGATCAATAGAATATTTTCCTGGATTCAATTGAAGATCTTCTTCAAATCCTTGTGTAATCATTAATGTTCCATATTTTATTAAATTTACTATAATATCTGATGAAATTATTTGAATATAAACAACTGATGATGTGCGTAATAAACGGGAAATATTCATCATTGTTACAGTTAAATTTAACTCATATAATCCATAGGGAAGAGTTCGTTTAGGTATATATAACTCACTAAATGTTGTCTTTACAGCTGGATCTAATTGAATTTCATATGAACATGCGGAATAACAAATTTTTATTTTCCATTGAGTTTTAGTTGATAATGATTGATTACAATTGAATTTAATTATTGATGTGATAGAAAAATCTTCACTTCGGTAATATTGTATTGGTGACAATAATGTTGATGTCTCTGGAATAACTGTTACGGTTGGAGAAGAACATCCTGAAAAAGCAAAAATTCAATTTATATTTGAATGTTCATAAATATCCATGTATATATATTCTTTATCTAGTACCTTGATTATTACTTGACGTTTCTAAAGTTGTCACCATTGTTGAACTAATCGCGTGCGCAGTACTTGTCACTGTTGCATCAGTCGACTGTGTATTAGACGTTGGCGCTGCTAAAAGTTATATTTATTTTACAGCTCATATTTTCATGATTGGCAAAGTTGAAGAAGTTGTATTTTATTCTTGGTATCAATGTAAGAATTAAATCTGAATTAGAGAGACAAGCCACTCGGGCTGTGGAATTAGCTTAACTCTTTCTAGTCGAAATAGGGTTTCTAAATTACAGTCAAATTATTGTTTAGTACGAATTTAAAAAACTAAACATCAGATTTCAGTTAGCCGATCCAAAAACAATCCTTCGTTCACCGCTTATAACAAACAATATTTCTGCAGAGAGATGGTCCTTTGCCCAAAAACTAGCGTAGGTTTAAATTTGTTTTTTAAAAGTTAAGAGCACTATTGGATATATTAATGTATTATTGTACGTTATTATGTCATTGCTAGTCATACATTGACAAAAAAAAGATAGAACACACATGAACAAGCTTAAAAGTATCCAAAGAAAAATCTTAAAGTTCTTATTTTGTTAAATAGAGAATATGAAAAAATCATTCGTTTTATAAAAATACTGCCGGATTTATTAACAAGTCGGGACGATTGTAGTTTTAATTTAATTTAATTAGCTCAAAAACATCAAAATGGAATAAAGTTCAAAGCAATGGTCAAAATCGATACTTATAATCATGGTTAAATATTGTTAGAGCTTATCTTCTCTTTCTTTGATTCATATAAGAGAACGTGAAAAAGATCGATATCAATACTTATAAGCGAAGAAAAATAAGACGAGAACGACGACGATGAAGAAAGAAGAACTATGCAATTTATTAATAACATCGAAAGAATCGGGAAAATGATCAATAATGGAGATGATATGTGTTTGAAGAAAATATCACATCAAAGGAGATGAAGAAAGGATACAAAGTAAGAAACTGTAAAGGCGCTGCGTAATAAATATTATAACTAAAATTACTTTTGAGCCGATAAGTCAGTCTATAGCTTCACCTGTTTTTACTCCTATTACGATTGCAATTACATCTGATAAAACTTACTAATCTGCGGTAGTGATGGAAAGACACCAATGCTGTTGACGCCTTGATGTGTAGTAATAATCTCTGGCCTGCCATCACCGGTAACATCGGCTATTGCCAAAGACGAGGGCCAAGAGCATGTTGAATACACTACTTCGCTAAGAAACGTACCGTTACCTAAGTTGTACAGAACACTGATACTATTGGCAAGGCTGTTCACCAAAATAACATCGATTCTGTTATCATAGTTCATATCAGCTGCTGTTAAAGACAATGGTCCGAAACCAGTTGAGTATGTCGTTTGAGTACTGAAGGTACCGTTGCCTGTATTGACAAGAACACTGATGGTATTGGAACCAAAATTTCCAACAACTATGTCGAGTGTGCCATCACTATTAACGTCAGTCACTACGACAGACATCGGTTGAGAACCAACTGTATAAGCCGTTTGATTAGCAAATGTGCCGTTACCCTTGTTTAAAAAAACACCTACATTGCTTGCATTTTCGTTTGTAACAATAATATCAATTTTGCCATCACCGTTAATATCACCCGCTGTGACGGAATTCGGCTGTGAATCTGTTGCATAAGTCGTTTGACTAGCAAATGTACCGTTTCCTTCATTCAAAAGAATACTGATGCTATTTGCACCGTTGTTTGCTACAATAAGATCCGATTTACTGTCATTGTTGACGTCTGCAGCTGTTACAGAAACTGGATTAGAACCAACTGAATACGTTCTTTTACTGTTAAATGAGCCATTGCCCAAATTGAGAAAAATGCTGATGCTGTTCGAACCAGAATTAGCTACAATAATATCGAGTTCCTTATCGTCATTAACATCGCTTGCCGTCACAGATTTGGGACTAGTGTCAGTTGCGTAAGTCTTTTGAACAGAAAATGTACCGTTATCTTTGTTAAGAAAAACACCGATATTGTTCGTGTCTCTATTTGCTACAATAACGTCAGTTTGATTATCATTATTAATATCAGCTGCTGTTACAGATACTGGACTAGATGCAGTGGAATAAGTTGATGGAACAGTTAATGCATTATTACCAGCGTTCAGAAGAACAACAATGTTATTCGTATTGAGATTTGTTACAACCATATCAGTTTCGTTATCATTATTGATATCAAAAACTACTAGATGACGTGAGTTAGAAACAGTTGGATATGTGGTTTGAGTATTAAATGACCCATTGCCCATGTTCAAAAGAACACTAACACTGTACGAATTAGTGTTTGCCACAACAATATCAGGTTTGCCGTCATGATTAAAATCGGTTGTCGCCGCAAAAAAAGGATACACACCAGTTGGATAAGTTATCGCAGTAGGGAATGACCCACCACCGGCGTTAAGTAAAACGCTGACACCATTTACACTCGTCCTTGGCACGATAACATCGATTTTACCATCACTATTGACATCAGCTGTTGCAATGAATTTTGGATAGTAGCCGGTATAATAGACTGTCTGACTACCAAATGTACCGTTCCCTACATTCAAAAACACTCCAATGTTTGATGTACCAGAGTTTGGAACAATGACATCGGGCTTCCCGTCATTATTGACGTCAGCTGCTGCTGCATACAATGGAGCAGGACCAGTTGAATATGTTTGCTCAGCAGCAAATGTACCATTACCTCTATTGAGGAGAACCCCCATACTGTTTTGACTGTAGTGTATAATAATAATGTCAAGGGCGCCGTCAACATTAATGTCAGAAGTCACCACAGAGTTCGGCGGATGAACAGTTGAATAGCTGATCTGAGCAGCAAATGTACTGTTACCTTGGCTGAGAAGTACACCGATGGTAACAGCACCGTTGCTCGCTACAATAATATCCGATTTATTGTCATTGTTGACGTCTGCAGCTGTTACAGAAACTGGATTAGAACCAACTGGATACGTTGCATATTTGACAAACGAACTGTTGCCCAAATTGAGAAAAATGCTGATGCTGTTCGAACCTGAATTTGCTACAACAATGTCAGTATACTCGTCATGATTGACACTGATTGCTGCCAATGATTGTGGATTTGATTCCGTTGGATAAATTGCTTGAACACCAAACGTTAGTCCACATTGATCTATTTGAAAGGAAAAAAATATTCTTAACACAGGCAAGTTGAATTTGTTTGAAAGATATGAAAAGCCATTTTAGAAAAATGAACAATTGTTGATATAGAAAGAATGCTGAGAGCAGTATCTAACTAAAATTTGAATCTAAAAATATTGTAACATGCGTGTCTCTCTTCATTCTCATCTTCCCCCGATAAATTGTTTCACCCTTTGACGCCGAGCATGGTTTATGTATATGGGTGTATTCACCAAGAATCTCCAGGCCCATCCGGCGGTCTCGTCCAATTTTAATGAAACTTTTAGGATTTGTAGACCTTTGAGTGGTAGTAACTTTGGCAGTGAAAATTTTTCAGGTGAAAAACAATCGAAATATTTAACTTTATGAGCTACGGATGATAACAATGGGACTGTAGGTGGTTTTCAAATAACGGCATTACATTTTAGAGATAGTGTAGATGAAAATTTTTTACGAAAAATCAATTTATCTTGGTTGGACTGTTTGCTTTCCTCGAGGTTAAAGTCGGGAAAACAACAAACTAGTACACATTAAAAGGCATGACCAGGCCTACTAAACTGCCGTTGCAGAATTTCTCATTCATTCCACTTTGGATGAAAACCCAGAATTATTCTCTGAATCCTCTAAAGAACCATGCGGTGGTCCAAAGTTCAGATGCTGATGATGCAAATTTTCACGAAGATTCAGAATATCATATTGGTTATTAGATTTGATTTGGTTTTCACAGAGAAAAATCAATTTGAGGATGAACACTATATATCAGGGAAGACAAAAGTAAAATCGCAACTATTTACTACCAAAATAATCAGCATCGAGAACTTAACATATACTGAAAGTTTCATTAAATTCCGAAAAATTTCCCGGAAGGGCTGGAGATTTCTGGTAGAAACACCCATATATATATATAGAATTATTTACATATCTGATCAAACAAGAGTAGGTGGAAAAATATTGAAAAATAAACTTTTTGTTTGTAGAGAAAATTAACCGTGTTTTAAAACTGTCGAAAGTATTGAAACATCATTAATATAGTAGTTTGAACTCTATGTATTGACTCTTGAATTGATAAAATATAGTTACCAAAAACAAATTCCTGTTGGAAAGCCAACACTTGATTCGTCACTCTGTTTATTTGCTAGACGCTTTCCATTATTAGTACCTTCAACTACTCGAGGAAAATTTCATTCACGTCCGCATACAACACAACATGAAAAAGGCATCCAAATATACAAGATATTAATATAAACAATATAATGTTGGCCTGTGTAACTGACTGTTTTAAAAGTTATCATAATCTAAAATACTTCTGTTTATAATTCTTAGTTAAATGAACGTTTATTTTCGTTTTTATAAACAACTTAATTTTGAAGAAAACCTCCAGAATCAAAGGTTTAGTTTTACCTGGTATTTGTCAAATAATCGTCAAAATGATAAATAATTACAGATAATAGATAATACTCTTAGTGAGTTAATGGAAATATTTTATGACAATAGTATTAATCTTTTCGAGTGCAGGGAGAAAAGAACTAACTTGTTTGATAGAAGAAAACAACTGAATAACACGAAACTCGTCTGGATAGCGCTAGTTATAAGGTTATGCCTATTGAATGATAATGAATGTTTATCTAGTGAAAGTTGTGATTCCGTCACAGAATTACTCAGAATTACGTAACTGAATAAGCTTTTGAAACTATGTAATTCCGTATTGTTCACTATAGCGGAATAGAATGACTGTTTGTTCATAACTCAATTTAAACGTCTGAGAAACTATAGTTCTGGACCTACTATTCCCTCATGGGACATCAAACGAAACCTTAAACTAAAAAATATGTATATATAAAAATCAATGCAGTTCTTCATTTCCATCGAAAAGAAACCTCAAAGATAACCTAAAATGGCAATAGTGGTGTTATTTGAATGAAAGCTGTATAAAGACAGGTTTTTAGCACTTTAATATTTTAGAAGGAAGAAATAAAGTCTCGAGCCTAATATTTTTACATATAAAATGGTGCAATTTTGCTTTCTCGTTCAAAATATGTTCCTTAAAACTAACAGAAAAATGACTAAAAGAAATGCTCGAATTTACAAATAACTGATAACAGATCTCATTGGGCTATTTACCCGTTGATGAGTGCACATAGCATGAAGCTAACTAGTGGAATATTTAGATCACCGCAGATGTTAATGCTGGTTTCGAATATCACGAGAATAGAGTCAGTCTCAATACAGAACATTTCGAATGCATGGAAATGCGAAGGAATGGCTAAGACTATGAGAAAACGTGCGAGAATACGCTGGAATGCCGAAGTCAGATATTTCCCTTTAACCAGTCTGCTATGAGTTACGGTGCATACAAGGAATTGACATAAATATTCTTTTCTGACATAGATGCTGTTCCATGTGTGTGCATGTACACTATGCATATATATATAACTTCTTCATAACTGTCATAATATCATTACGCCGGGTACCCAAAGCTAAACGTCTCGATACCCAATAAGATAAACAAATTGACTTCATCAGTCGATCTCATTACCCGGTACCCACCACCATTTCTTGCGAAACATGAGGGTGGTGGGGAAGGCCCGGCTAGTTGGTAAAGCGTCTTCTCACCTTTAACCGTTGGAACTTTCGCACCAATCTAAGTTTCCTTCACTCAGGTTTCCAGACTTCGAGAACCGCCATATTAGGCAATTTTCTCACTTCCTCCTGAAGGGATCGCATTGAGACCAAGTCGTGATTCGCCCGGTATTCACCATATTCACTCAAATTCCTCCGGTTCTCGGATATATAGTTGTCGGTTTTTAAACGGATACCATCCAGGGCATTTGTATGATGACATTACTCAACTTTTTTGTTTATGATTTCATTTGGAGTTCTTTAAGGGACTAGTGTGTTCAGAATAGAGTCCGACGACACAGAACTAGAACTATGAGATCCTAAGAAAGTATTTTACTATGTGTCATGCACTTCGTCCATGATTCTTCTACTCACTCCACATAAATACGTGCTGTTTTCGATGTATGAGTGTGTGTCCTACCTACATAAAGTTACATATATCACACTATGTTAAGTGTCGGATAAATTCTACCCGTAGAAGGTAGTATTAATACTAAAAATTCCGAATGAATACTTTGCCCGGTTCCACCAGGCTCGACTGCAAAAAGGTGGACTTTTTATAGGTTTTTGAATATTAGACTGTTGAAATTTCAATCACATGATCGGAATCCTTGTTAAATTTTGCATACAGCGATAGGAAATTTATCATAGCTGGCGCAAAAGCCAAATTTTGAAGTTCATGCTGTACCGCTGGATTCTATATGGACTTTGAAAAACGTTTTAAGCGGAAAAGCGGACCTATAGATATTTATCGTTTTTTCTGGGAAAATTTTTCAGGCTGTTTGGAAGATTGATACGCTGGGATATGTCGCAAGCGCTGGCCCTGCTCATAATTAAATCTTTAAAGGAATGAAAATGCTGTGTTTTAATTTCAATAAGCAATGAGAATTCCATTCACCATTTGGCACTTTTCTTTCAAATTCGGAATTATTGCAGCACATGTAATAGTTTTAAAAACTAATCAGTTTCACACAACTGGCAGTTTTTCAAAAGTGGAAATTTCCTTCCGTATTCTTGATCTTTAAATCATTTCTGAAACAGAAACATTTACTTTTGAATACCCGCCTTTGTCCGGAGAGAAGCTCTGAATCTTAATTTAAATGATTGTCTGCCAGTTTTAATTTTACTCTCGTCTGTAACTCCAGCTCACTATATCATCTTGAAATGCCCCTAATACATCTTATACAGAAAATTTTTTGGCTTACATATGCATTCTTTTGTTCTCCCTCAAATAATCTTTGTTAATGGAATGTAAATCTGCGCTCACTTTAATCAAGAAAATAGTCAAAATAAATTGCGCGATGGATCGACTGAGCGAATCCTCCTTTCCTGCTAGAGTGACTAGCCGTTATGATCTATCCAGAAACTTTTGCGAAACATTTTGAAATAAAGTAAAATCTCCTGTTTCTTCTTTCCGATCGACAGAGAACCAGTCAGAATAGCCATTCAATAGATAACATTTGGCTTTAACGAAAGATGAACCCGACTGACCTTATAATGTGCGCAAAGCGCTAAAACTAGAATGCGCAATTTTAACTGATAAACTTCTTTAGATATGTTAATCAATTCTAACCTACACAGATTCTACATTCAGCAGTCTGATAAAAAACATCACATTTAGAAATGCACTCACCACAGACTCAAATAGTTTTGAGCGTTTGATCGAAGTAGTAAATTCAAGTTAGACATCCAAATTATCTTCGCCTAAGCTACATAGTTTAACAAATCCAAAACTGATATACTAACTCTATAACTAAACTCACAGTTATCTCCAAATGTAATATTTAAACTGATAAAGTTAGAAAGATCTCGGGTTAGCGTAGGTTTAAATACAGCAACATGGCCCAATACATGTAAGTTTTACCCGATCATAGGCCTTCTTTTGCGTTCAGTGTATCTTTGTAAACCGCCCTTTTCCCTCGCTAACTCATCCGAAAAAATACGAATATGCAAAACACATCTGAAATCTTCACGTGCCCTAAGAAAATATGAGCAATAAATACCGGATGAACCGAGTGATGAATCTAATATTTCGGATGAAAATCGCAGCTTTTGCCCAATACTTCTATGGAAACTTATACCATTCGACGGAGAATTTTATTTTGTACTTAACTCAACTATCTAGAGGGCAACGATAAGTTTTTGAACGTATTCGAATAAGAAATACTCAAATATGATACCGAGTTTCTGATGTGAGCTGTATATCCTTGAGCTTTTTGGGAATTCGAAATCTCAAAGACGCTTCATGATTTTCGAAGATACTTTTTCAATAAATATAAAACAACATAGTCTTACTTGCATTCGAGTATGTTAATGTTAGTATTGTCAACCATAATGTGATACTAAAGCGAAATACAGTCGGCATGATCGCTTAGTATTTCGATACTTGAGATGCAAAGTAATGAATAAAAGCTTTATGCATTAAATGAGATACAATATTTTCTTCGATATAAAATGAAGTTTATCTTACTTTCTCCGGCAATAATAAACAGGAAAAACGCCTCCTTTTTCTTCTCCTATATTTTATCGACAAATTTTCATGAATAATACCAATTCTTTCTCATTCATTCAATTTAATTGTTTCCTTCTTTTATGGACCATTGTTTCTCGGACAAATATATATTTAAACAGTATATTATTTATAGTTAGAATGTTCTACTATGTTTTCCAGAAACTTCACATGAAATAATGTGATAATTTCTGCGGAACTTAGATTTTTCAGCAAAAATCTGTTGTGTGTATATTGTTAATCGGTATTTTCGAATCATATCCTCTTTGTTCGTTGCGAAAAAGAACAACATGCTTCAAACAGAACTCCATAAATATACTCTACTTCGGACATACTAAAAGTAGCATATGACGCGTTATAGCGTTTTCTCGGGAATTACATGTTTTCGAATGTCAGATGAATTTCCCAAAAATCAAAAACAACATTTTCTAAAAACGTTTACTGGTCGAAACACTTATTCTAAACTCAATAAACAAAACTTTCATTGCGTGCGCCGTGAAGGGTGATGAGATTTGTGCTTTCTAGCAGTCAAAACTATTTTCAAAAGCATTGTAAGAGTTTTAAGAGCTACTGTCTTTGTGAATGTATGATTCATTGTTCTTTCTCGAAACTAGTCCAACATTCCAAAATGGACATACGGTCGATTATGGGCTTTATTTTAAAACTGCCGTAATGAACGTAATCGAGAATTTCCCGGTTTCCATTATGGAACTAGTTCCACAAGTAACGTTCGTCATTGCGACTCACTTGATCCTCGACTGAGCAATAAAGAACCAGTTTTCTCCCTCAATGATAGTACAAACTAGCCTAACATCTTGATAGAACGGAATAATTCAAATTTTGTTCTACTTTGAATTATGGCTTTCGAA